AGGATTAGGTGCTTAGAGGATTAGGGCTGGGCCAGTGGATGGATTGATTGGGATAGCATAGGGGTTGGTAATGACATACACACAGGCCTTAAGTCATCTTCTCAAATGTGAAGTTCACAAACGCACTTTTTTTTTTTCTAGTAGGATCTTGCTGACCTTGAAATTCAGCTCTAAGACTGTCTTATTATTTCACTAATCATTCATGTATTCATCCTGCAAATATTTATTGAGCACCAACTCTGTATCAAGTGTTGTGCTAGGTATTGAGGCTACAGTAAGGAGCAAGAAAATGTAATCCCTGATCCTACAGAGCTTCCATTATAAGGTGAGGAGAGAAGTAGTTAAACAAACAATTTCAACAAATTGTGGTTATAGATGTACAGGGTGACTTGGGAGCACATGGCAGGAGGGTGTCACCAGCAGCGCAGAATGTCAGGGAAAAACCTCTTGGAGAAAGGGACTTCTAAACTGAGACCCAAAAGGTTAGTGGGTAGCTGAATAGGTGAAAAAGTGACTGAGGCAGATGAAACAAGATATAAGAATCTGTTGGAGGGAAGAGAGAGCACAACGCACATTGGAAACTGACAAATTGACAGAGCTCTGACATGAGTGGGACTCATTGAGTGTGAGGTGTGGAAAGGCAAGCAGTGACCTAGAAAGATTAGGAAGGGCTGGGCCATAAAATGCCATATAGGTCATGCTAAGAAGTTTGATCTTTATTCTCATGAAATAATAAGGAATTAATTTTCTTAATGTAACAGATATGAGTTTCTTTCTTGAGAGAATAGAAATACAAAGAAGAAAACAAAAGTGTCTTCATATTCACTTTCCAGGTGACCTGTTTTTTTAAACAAAAGTAACTAATGTATAACACTTGAAAATCCAAACAGTTCAAAATGAAAAATGAAAGTCAAACTTCCCCCAGCCCAGTTACTCTCCTCAAGGAAAACCATTATTCAGAATATTTTGTATTATTTACAGAAGAAAAATTCCTTGTTCCCCCATGTAAGTGTATATATGTGTGTGTGTGTGTGTGTGTGTGTGTGTGTGTATCTAAGTATATACACATATATATAGTTATAGATATATATATCTATATTGGTTATTGATACCTATATATCTATATCTATTGGTTATAGATATAGATATACAGATATCTGTATCTATATCTATAATATCTCCATATATATATATATCTCCATATATATAGATAGATAGATAGATCTCTTGCTCTCTCTGTGTGTATATATACATATATATATATGGAGATATCTATCTATATAGATATCTATATAGATATCTCCATATATATCTATAACCAATCACAAGATGCTTACTGTTTTGCATCTTGCTTTCTATTTAATGACATATATTGAAAATATTTCCATGTGTGCATTCATACACACACACACGGAATATTTCATCAGTTTGAATGTCATCCTTACACGGGAGTCCTACTAATCACATTATTATTCCAGCTTCAGTCAATAAGGGAAGCATTACTGGAGGATTTTGAGCAATAAGGATTTACAATCACTTTTGTGTTTGGAAAAAAATAGCTTTGGCTATTATTTGAAGACTAGATTATGGGGGTCAAGAGTGGAGTCATAAAGAATTATAAGGAGGCTATTCCACTGATCCAATTAAAAGATCGTTGTGGGTTAGACCAAGTCTATGGCAGTGCAAAATGCACTGAGAGAAGTGGGTGAATTGAAAAGATGTAAAATATAAATATGACAAGACTTATCAATGAAATGGTTGTAGAGAGTGAGAGAGGAGAGTAATCTCAGATGACATTCAAGTCTCTGGTTTGATATATATGAATAAGAATGCTAATTATGGCATTCAGTCATTCAGGAGACTTATTCTGAATGACACTCACCCATTGAAAATATCCTCTCCCTACTCTAAAATGTTATATCACATTGCTCAGACCTTTATTCTCTTACTATGTCCATTTATAGTAATAAAATACTTTATTTGTATGTTGTTTTAGCCTTCTTACATGCTATGTACTCCTTAGTAGTGTGGTTGGAAGTAGGCAGGTATGAGGAAAATAGAGCACAAAAAAGAGACTAACATTTGCTGATAACTTACTCTGTGACAGGTGCTGCACAGGGCCCTTTTTCAGACATTGCATTTTATTTTCACAGCCTGATTTTACAGATTAAAAAATGAAGGCTTAGAGTACTCAAGTGACTTCCCCAAGATCACATATTTTAGGAAGAGACAGAGCTAAGATTCAAACCAGCTTTGTCCATGTCCAGAGCCCACCATCAGGAAGCCAAATAAGAAAGTGTAGAAGAATTGGGAGGAGGAGCTGATGCCATATATAGAGCTGCTCCAGGCAGTCAGTGAAGAGGAAAACATGTTACTTGCACAGAGAGAGGAGAGAAAGCTTTACTCAGGCAAGCATAAAGATTCTGTGGCAAAGTGAGTGGGGAACTAGGTGTTGGGAGGACTCTCAGGGAGACTCCATATGAATGAGGTACCAGGAAGCTGAAGAAAATATACTTTGACCTAGGGTCAAAGAGTGAATACTCAAAGACCAGGGGAGTTGGGAGCTAAAGAGTCAGTCAGCAGATGCAAGTAAGCCAGTGGGAACGGCAGGCGGGTGAGCTTCAGAGCAAGCATCCCTTACGGCAATGGTCCTCAAAGTGTGGTCCTCAGACCAGAAGCATTAGCATCACCTGGGAACCTGTAAGAAATGCAAGTTCCTGGGCCTCACCCAAGATTTACCGAAGCAGAAACTCAATGTCTTAACAAACCCTACAGGAGATTCTGGTACATGTTCAAGTTTGAGACCTATAGCCTTGGAGGATCAGGGAAAGAAGCAAGTGGAGTCCAAGAACCAGAGTATAAGAACCAGTATCCCCAGAGCAAGTCTAGGACTGTCACATATCACAGCAATGCAGAGCAACACTTCCAAAGCACAACAGAGTCTGCTGGTCAGAAGCGGTGATGGGGAGAGGTTTCAGATATATGGTCTCTGGGGGACAACCCCTCTTCCCTGGACCCCTCCAACTTTCCCTAGAGGTCTTCTTTTTAAGAAACTGCTAAGAGAAATCTCATCAGAGGATCCTGAGGTGAAGAAGTTAGACTGTCCATGCCAAGGCACTGCCCATGGCTTTTTATTTTTTCCTGGTACATGATACTGTCACAAATTTTTACTGGAAAATATGGGAAGGAAGGAAGACAACATTTATTGAGGGTCCTAACATGCTGAGCACTGTGCTAAGGGTTCACACAAATGCCAGCTAATTTAATCCTCACAGTATTTCAATAATGGAAGTGTTATTATTTCTGTTTTGCAGATGAGAAACCAGAGGCTCAGAAAAGTTAAGTGATTTGCCCAAAATCACACAGCTCAGAAAAAGGCAGCCAAGATACAGTTCTTAGTCTTTCTGACTCTAAACTCCGTGCTTCTCACACTAGACCATTTTGTCTCTAATTTGAAGATCCCTGGGGTCCTCTCCTCTTTGTAGCTACCCCACAGCTGTGTGTTTGTGATGGCCCATAGATGAGTAGCCTGGAAATATTGAAATGAATAAATAAAAGAATGTTCTAGTGACAGATTTTAACATGCGAGGGCCCCTTAAAGGTATTCTGGTTTTATAGTTTTCAAATCTGTTTTTAGACATTTCTTACTGGGGTGCTCTGGACATAATCACATTGTCTGGGAGAGCAGTCACACACAGTGGACAGGTTCCTGTGTCCCTTCATCCTTGCCCATTCCTATCTCCTTCCCTGCCTTATCTAGAACAAATCCACTTTCATCTTCCATAAGTAGTGGGTGTTTACTAAGATTCTGTTTAGGGAAAGGGCTCTGCTGCCAAAATTAGTTTTAAAAACCACAAATCTAGACTACCTTATTCATGTTATAGATGAAGAAACTGAGTGCTAGAAAGGCAAAAAGACTTGTCCAGGGTCACTGTGTGCTCTTTAGTAGCATAACTAGAATGTGAACCCAGGATTCTTGAAACACTCTTCTTTTTTGACACAGGTTAATACAGTTTGTGTCCTAACAATAAGAAAAAAATTATTTCAATTTCAATAAATATTTAGAATTGAAAAATTAAAAATTATAACTCTAATTTTTGCCTTTGCCATGTTCCAGTCATTGTGCTAGTTAACATGTATAGCCTTATTTATCTTCTCATAACAGACCTATAAAATAGGCAATATTATTATCCCCATTTTAAAGATGTGAAAACTGAGATTTAGGAGGATTAAATTGCTTTAATCATAGAATCAGGAAATGGCAGAATTGGGATTTCAGTCCAGAATATCTGATTTCAATTTTCATCCTCTGAACAACGATGCCATATTGCAAATGCCTATATTGCAAAAAAGTCTGTTATTTAGCCTGCTGCTTGTTTTCTGGTAAATAAATTTTTATTGGAACAATGATATACCTTATGAACTATCAAGGCAAATTTGTGTAGTTATGGCAAACAGAAACTATATTCTCTGGAGATAAAATATTTAGTAACTAGCCTGTTACAGAAAAGGTTTGCCAACATCTGGTCTATAGATATTAACTTTAAAATGTTTTTCAAGTGACCTCCAGGGGAAGGAACCAGAAATGTACCCTGGATTTGCAGGAGAGGTAGGCACTGTTTATGCTCTCAGTGAAATTGGTGAATGAATAATACAAGCATGGAAACCTGGCCTACCTGGCCTCCTGCGGTCTTCACTGTGTTGATTCAAGTCTATTACGACCTGTTCTTGTTGTCTTTCATGAGTCATAGCAGAGGCCTTATCCCTTCCCCTCCCTGTCATAAATGCCTTAGAGCTTGGACTTGGATCTGTGCTTAATGAGTTTTGTCTCCACCTTCCTTTTCTTGCTTCAAGGTTCACATGTGTGCCAGGCAGTTAATTCTAGGGGCTACCATGGCTTGGCTAAGCTTCCCTTGACCACTGAGCATTTCTAAGGGAGCTGAGGTTGGTGGCTCCTCCCTCCTTCCTATTGGTGCTTCCACCAGCCTTGGTCTGTGTTGCGTTCCATGGGGCAGCGCCTAGGTGTCTGAGCACATTTAAGGACCTCTAGTGGTTTATGACCCAGACTTTGCCCTACCAGCTCAGCCTTCTGAATGTTCTCTTCCCTGGAACCTGTCCCAGACACTTTAAGAAGAGGAAAATGTGCCCAGCCTGCCTGGAGAACAGCATCTGCTCCTAGCCAAGATCTCCACATAACAAAGTAAGAATATCAGGCGGTGGAACCTCCGTCATACCTGTCCTCTTCCTATACCTGGATCTGGTGGGTAGACGCAGTCCTTTTTAGAGAAGCATAGTATTCTCCTATCTATTGCCACAAATTGCTCCTCACTCATTCTTTCCCTATACTTTGTGTCTTTGAAGCTGCTTTATTTTCCATGTTTAATATCTAGACTGTACTTTCTTCATGGAATTCTAGATATGTAAATTTACAGGGCTAGGAGGGTCCATATCTAGTTTAAGACACTCACTGTAGAAATAGAAAAAGGCCCAGAGAAGAGAAGGGGTTGGGCCAAATCCACATAGCTGATTACTGCTAGAGCAAGTGGGGTGAGAACCTTGGTCACTTGACTCAGGACAGTGACTTTTCACTGCTCTCTCTTTCCACCAGGAATGGGAATGACTTTTGACTTTAAACAAATCCAGACTCCAGTTTGACCCTGAATTTTGGGGGAACATTTCGCTTTTTTTTTCTTTTCAGTATTTTCAATTCTTCTGTGCCTTAGTTTTTAGGCTCTTGATCTGTGTTAATCCAGGCTACCGTCTAGCTATATCCAGTTTCCTCCGATGGAAAATGTTAATGTAGCATCAGGGTTTCGCTCCAGGATCTGCTAGAAATGACAGAGGCAAAGGTAATGTATATATAAAAATATCTACCAGTGAGTGACTAGTAGGCAGTAGGCTTTCAATAATTGTAAAGTTCCTTCTACCCCCTGGAAAAGACTGTGTTTCTCCCCTAAGCAGCTCAGTGTGTGTGGTGGTTTCATGGTTAAAAGTTTAGACAGGCCCAGTAAAACATATTTTCTTTTGCTTCCTAATGTGTGACCTTGAACAAGCTATCTCCCCTCTCAGAGCTGAATTTTCCTCAGTTTTAAAATAGAATTAGAGTATCCATCTCACAGGATAATTGTAAGACTTAAATAAGAGAATACACGTAAAATCTTTAACATAGGGTTTAGCATGTAGAAAAAAAAAACCTCTTTGTTTTATTGCCAGTTTTATTTTTACTTATTACCAAGAAGCCATGACATCAGAATAATAGTCAGGGCTGACAATTGTGCTTCAGACCAAGAAGGGAAGGAGCTGGTGAGATGGAGGCTCTTTCCATTTCGACCCCATTTTTTAAATGGAGCTGTTGAAATCTACCCATGAGTTTTGCCTGGCCACTCTGACAGTGTCCTCGTCTCAGCAAAAACCAATTAGCAAGTCCTGATAACAGAAGTACAACCCACCCCCTTGTAATTCCTCCTGAGATCCTAACCAGGATTTGTAAAACACCCGGATACGGGTAAAGAACCATCCCGGGTTTTATATCAAACCAGGCCCCAGAGGAGAAGGACATTCCAGTAGTTTTGTTTCTGGAAAAGAGGGCACCCAGCCCTTCCCCCTCCCTTATCCTCCCATCCCAGTAATCCCTGCCAAATTGGAATCCTGGACTTAATTTATGAAAAAGGCCCTGTAACCAAGATACTGACTGAACAGAGCTGGCGGGCTCAGGCTGAGGTCTGCGGTGCAGCATTAATGGGCCGCTGACATGAATATGGAGTAGTTTTCTCTATCAAAGGTAAGCTTTTTTTTTTTCTCTTTTCAAACTCTACCTCACCTGCCTTCCTGTGCAAAAATCTTTATTTAACTGAGTTAAGAGGAGTCCTGGCCACTGGAAAAAAGTCAGTGGCCAGAAAGTTGGAGGATGTTTGGCTGGTCTGCAGGAAAGTTAAGGGAGACAATAGGCTCCTTTTGTTCCTCTCGCCAAAATACCCAGGTCCACACTGACTTGACTGTTTCAGGGCCAATCCTAGAGCCATAGAGAATAGTTCATTTTCCTGTCGAAACAGCTTGCTCATCTTCTGTCTCACAGGTTGAGGAATTTATTGAGGTGATGGATCTGAGGATTATATAAGTGATAAGTCAAATACTTAAAAATAACCATGTTTGGAATCATGTTTCAAGACCAGATTGACACAGAGTAAGCCAATAAATGATAGCTGAACTAAGCTAACCGTCTGAATTTGAGTAGTCTTAGTGTCTAAATAGAAGAAATCTTTTAGAAATCATGTGTTCAATTCTGGCTTTTTTAACAACCGGCTGCCTGACTTTGACCAAATCCCTGGACCTCTCTGGTCTCAGTTTTTTATATATCACGTAAGGGTGGTTGAAAAAGATGGTTTCTAAAGGTTTCATTAATGTGTGAATCTACAACACATTCCATTTTTCATTACTCAGCATCTTTTATATGACAAGCAATCCTTTTGGAGGGACTCAAATATCCATGTTTTTTTTGTTGTTGTTGTTGTTGTTGTTGACTCAAGACAATCCTGTGAAACAATATCCCATTTTTTGGATGAGATAACTAAGGCTTAGGTAAAACAATAATTTATTTAAAGGTCACCTAGCTATCACAGACAAGAGATGGGATTTGAATCAAGGTCTTAAACTTCAAATTGGTATGTTTTCTATCATAGAGTTAAGAAAACGGAGGACCAAAAAGTCAATTTTGATGGAGGGTTTATTAGGAAGGCTGCTGAGAGATTGGAGACAGGATCCCAAAGATAGCTCGGCATTCCTTTATTCGGTTGAGTAATCCTTAGTTGAGGTTGAGCCTGCCTAGCCCAAAGTAGTATAACTGACAAAAGGAGATGGAGAAAGAGAAAAGAACACTGCCGCATTAAAAGAGCAGTTTGCAAATTCTATGGAACACAGCAATGCAAATTGTTATGGATGATAGGGATCAGACCCAGGTGACACTGGCGTGACAGGAAGGTAAGGTAAAGATAAGGGAGGCTTGACTTTATATTGGCCGATCTTCTTTCCAGGTTGGCACAAGGTTTCGGTATATCTTAACTAAGCTATCCAAATACCCTAGACATTTTCTTCTCTTTTTCTTCCTTTGAGTGCTCTTCCTTATGCCTTCCTTTTTAATTTAATTTTTTTAACTTTTTCCCGGGATTCTTTTTCAACTTACTTATTTGATTTACCCTTTTATTCATTCCTATTCTTTTTCCTCATCAGTCTGATTCTTCTCTGTGGGCTTAGCTGAGAAAAAAAATAGCCTTGCTCAAGTGAAAAGCTTACATATCTTTCATCTTATTTGATCTTTATAACAAACTAATGAATGGCCCAAAGTAGAGACAATTCCCATTTAAGACATGAGGAAACTGAGGCTCAGCAAGTTAGGGGCTTGTTCAAGGTCATATAACCAATAAATGATGAATCCAGAGCTAGAACTTACTTTTTTTCTGGTGCCTGAACTCTTTTCAGTTTACCATGAAATACTCAAGTGGTTATAAAAAGATTTTATGGGTTTTTCATTTTTTCTGCTCTTGTAGTATATGATAAAACCAAGTTAAACAGCAGGAATAACAATGACAAATTAAGATTTCAGGAGGAAAGAAAGGATATCAGTAATTAGAAGGAAGAAAATTACTCATCAGGTGCCTACTAAGTCCCAGATGCTGTTAAAGGTTATCTTATTTAAATACAGAGTAAAACAGTACTTAAACCTAAGTTAGTCTGACTCAAAAGTTCTAGTTCTTTACGTTATACCATGTTGTTTCCAAGAAGAGAGTTCAGCCTGGGCTGTGTGCATTTTCATACCCATGTACATATTCCTTTGTATTTAATATGTGTTACTGTATATGGGAATTTATGAGTGTGCACCTATTTGTTGCTATTCATAAATTGGAAAATCTGTATGACCCTGACAAGTTTCATTTCCAAACTATTTCCTTGCCACTAATAACTTTGGATCACTTATGTGTGCCCCTAAAGTACTTCAGTATATATTAATTAATATAATCACCACAAAACTCTATGAAGTAGTTAATAGTATTAATACCACTTTAAAAATAAAGACACTGTGGCGAGATAAATGAAGAAGTTTCCTAAGTCATACAGCTAGGAAAAGTGGAGCCAAGATTCACTTAGGTAACATGATTCCAAAGCCTTTACCCTGGATGCAAAATTGAATAAGTATTCCTTATCTCTCAAGATCTTGAGAATTATGTAAGATGGCAGATATTAAAAACACATTGTAAAATGGAAACGGCTAGGGATATGTTAGGTAGCATTTCCCCGTACTCACCAAATTCTATTGTCTAAGCCTTTTGGATCATAAGTCACTACTATTGAATGCTTGCTCACTGTACACTGAAGGCTTGTGCTAGTCTTTCCCAGGAATATTTTCAAGTTTATCATGTGTTTCACCAGTTGTGGAGTTCTTCCTTGGGACAGTTTTCTGTCTAGGTAAATGAGTTTAAAGCACAACTGCTTTGTTGACACATCTCTGAGAAAGAAGATTGGAAGAGGTCCATTGTTGCATTCAGACTTGGAACGAACCAAGGACACTCTCTCCCTGTTGAGAATTCCAAGGCATGACTATTTGCATGACCATATATAGAGCTATTTGTAGGCGTATGTGAGTATGCCTGTGTTTCATCAGTGAGTGTGACTATTGGCAATATGTGAAAGCTGTAAGGACTCTTCGAGAGCTCATTATATACCACATTTTTGTGGTTCTGCACTTGTCTATTTCACTCGATTATCAAACGTCTATGACTCTCTCAAAAGGTAAGAAGTATATAGTATTTATATAGTAAATTATTTTATAGATGGGGAAACAGATGAAGAAACTTACCTAAATTCACCCTGAACAAGTATTAGAACTTGAACTAGACCCAGCAGTTGGCAAAATGTATGTGTGTGCTTCTTTATGTCACTTTAACAAAGCTGTGATGACCCATCTACTTGGCCTCCATCACCATGTCTTGTAATAGATACACAGAGACCTCTAGGAAATGACATCCACTCTCAAGGAATCTGTAGTCCCATCTGGGAAATGAAGACAGTTCATGAGGCAGGTCATAAGACGGAAAGGCTACAATAGTAGAGTCTGACTGAATCTAATTGGGTGCTATAGAGAGTAAGTAGCCCTTCAGAGGACAGTGATATGAAGAGGCTAGAGGTGGCCTTTGGAGTAGTTAGTATTCAAATTAACCCTTGGAGTAGAAATATAGAAAGTATGATGCATGAGAGACTGTAGAGATGAATTAACAAACTGTAGCCAGGCGGGAGAAGGAAGAGGAAAGAAATCAGTAGTTACTACTGCCTAGTATGTTCCAAACATTGATTATTCCTGGGCCCTTTCATGTAAGCCTTCTGATTTATTTCTCCAGGGCTGATATTATTATACCCTTTTTACAGATGAGCAAACAGATTCTGAATGGTTAAGTAATCCCCAAGGCTACACAGCTGGCCAGTGGAAGAGTTAGATTTTAGAAAAGAGGACCCCAAAACAGATCCTCTCTTACATCAAGGGCTTTCTGCCAAATATGATGTAAAAACTATGGATTAACACTTGGGTCACTGCTGCATATGGAGAGGACTGAGAGTTCGTGAGGAAATCTATAAGTTTGTTTCTTAAATAGGGTAAAAATCTGGGGATTTTCTATCCATATGTGAGTCTGTGCATATTTTTGATTCTCTGTTTTTTATTAACAATGCCTATTTCATGTGCTTGGGTTGAAGATTTAGTGAAATAATTTATATAAGGCACTAGACATGGTGCTACTATGTAGTAATCTTTCAGTGAATAGTAGCCATTATCATCATTATCATTAATGCAATCTATTAGGTGTATCTCTGCCTACATGAATATTTATGTCTGTTTGTAAAGCGATTACAACTGCATGTAATTACTTGTTTCAGGATGTATGTGTTTTTTCACAAATATGGTTGTTGCTATGGGTATAAGTATGTTCTCTGTGTATATACATGTGGTGTGCAAGTATATTTTTGTGGAAAGTAGTATAGCATGGTGGTTATGCTGGAGCCTCACTTCCTGGGCTCAAATCCCAACTCTACCAATTTTTATCTAGATGGCCTTGGGCAAACTACTTTACACCTCTGTTCTGCAGTTTCTCCATTGTAATATGGGGTTAATGCTGGTGTCTCTTCATAGAATGATTGTGAGGATTAAATGATTTAATCTGTGTAAAACACTTGTTACAGGTGCAGCGTGCACATACAATAAATATAGCTTTATTACTATTATCATTGTTCTGAAGGTGACTAAGGTTTTATGTAACAGAGTGGTTTTATGTTTTATGTGTAAATGCAAGTGTGTGCATCTCTGCTTTTAGGTAAGAATACATGTACCTGTGTGTGCAAATTTGTGTATTTATATAATGTTATCTGTGTTTCTGTGTTTGACTGTAACTGTATGGTATCAATGAGTGCTTCATTCCAGTCCCAGGACGTCTAACGTCCTGACTTATGTACTGAAATGAGAGGTTAGAATCTTGGGTCTGATTCTGACTCAGGATTAGTCCTATGAAATGAGTTTATGAATAACCTTGGGAATCAGCAGACAGTATTTCTTCTGAGAAGTTCAAAATACTTCCTTCGCATACTGTCATTTATTTTTGGTCCATTGTTAACTTTTGAAGTATAATACACATAAAGTGTACAAATTCTGTTTAAAGCTCACTGTATTTTCACAAACTGAACACACTTTTACAACCAACGTGTAGCTCAAGAAACAGAGCATTACTTAGAACCCCTTCTCTTCCCTTTCCAGTCATGGAATCCTACTTCAAAGCAAACATTATCCTTACTTCTACCAGCATACATTACTTTAGCCTGATTTTTTACTTTATTTAAATGAACTCATACAATATGTACTATTTTGTGTCTATTTTTTCTGAAACATTACATTTGTCATAGATATTCATATTGTTGTGTGTAGTTGTAGTTTGTTCATTACTATTGCTATAGTGAATTTCATTTTATGAATAAAATACAATGTATTCATTCTAATGTTCATGACTGTTTCTATTTTGGTTTTATCAATATTCTAGTAAATATTTTTGGTAAATTCTCACTTGTTGTTAAACACAATTTATAGAGGACAGGAAGTGGCAACAACAGTGAATGTTCCCTTTTGCCTATGGGAAAACAGAGGCAAATGGAGAATTAGTGAGTCAGTGGCTCGATAGGGCTTCCGGTGCCTGTTTCCTGATTCTTGGGACAGAGCACATTCTTCCTGCTACATCATTGACAAAACTATCCAGATCTCTCTTCTGAAGGACGTAGTAATACGTGATTAGCAAGCAGCAAGGGTGACTTTTTAACTATGCCCTTCAAAATCCAATCATTGAACACTTATTGTACTTAAAGGAATCAGGTAAGTTAAATAAACTGGGCTAATTGGGTTTTGCTTTCTCAGTCACTCAATCTGGCTCTTCTTCAGTTTTCTGGACATGTAGAAAGCCCCTTTGTTCTCTTTCTTCTACACCAACAGTTTTCATTTGCCTGTTTCCCAGAGTAATGTGGGCCATGGAGTCAGGCCACCTCCTCTGGGCACTGCTGTTCATGCAATCCTTGTGGCCTCAACTGACTGATGGAGCCACTCGAGTCTACTACCTGGGCATCCGGGATGTGCAGTGGAACTATGCTCCCAAGGGAAAAAATGTCATCACGAACCAACCTCTGGACAGTGACATGTAGGTTTAATCTCTCGTGGTATTTGAGGGGAAGTTACGGGAGTGCCCTTGAGGTCACGAGGTAGCCGCTTGAGGGCCCTTCTTCAGGGTGTGGTAGCAATCAGCTCCTGATCTCTCTGAGCTGTAAATACTCAGTGGCAGATTTCCTGAGAAGGGTAGTTGACTCAGAAGCCAGCATTTAATCTGGAGTTTGCTGTAACATTTTTAGAGTCCTAAAGAGAATTCCGTATTTGCTGTATTCTAATTTTGATACTCACAATGCTTACTTAATAACAGCTGTTAGACTGTATAAAAGAATAATGAAATATATACCGTGTTTATAAGATGTATATGTGGGAACTATGCTTCCATAGTTTGGTGAAACTACTGTATATTTATTTCAGATATGTGAAAATATGAAAAAAGAAAGTAAGCCTTAGAACCAAGGAAGTAATGGTAATAGCTCTCACTTATGTAATACTCTATGACACACACCACACTAGCAATTTACGTACTTTGTCTCAACTCTCATAGAAACTCTAGAAGGTAAGTATGTGTGTAGTCATTTCATAGATGAGAAAACTGAGGCTTAGGGAGATCTTGGATAAGTGACTTATCCAAGTCCTATAGCTAGTAAATGAAAAAGGTAGGATTTGAACGTGGATAATGTGAATGTAAACTAATACTCTTCTCACCACCCTGTCTCTCATAGATCCCACAGGGTTAACCTTTCCTGATCTTAGAAACTTGCAAGTGCTCCACAAATATCTGTTAAAAATAAATGAATGTATGAAAAAAACTTTTGTGACCACGACTCGTTTTTTCTCTCCTAAACTTTGGAGTTTTCCAAAGTTGACTGTAACATCTCTGAGCTCTCTGAGAAGAATTATAGTATAGTACGAATAACAACTCTGTCTTTTTTGGCACAAAGTATTCATCTAGTTTCAGAGTCATGGAACCCTTGTATTTTTTTTTTTGATGGAATAAATTCATTATCTTCCATCTCTAATACTTTGAAGTGATAGTCCACATTTATTGAGTTTTTACTATTTGCCAGGCACTGTCCTAAGCTCTTTGTGTATTTGAATTTTGTTTAGTCACCAATGAAAACTGAGTTAGGAACTATGATTATTTTCATTTTACTGGTGGGCAAATTGTGTACAGAGAAATTAAGTAACTTGTTCAACATCCCACTAATTTGGAAGTGGCAGAGTAAGCAATCATTCTAAGTGGCTTGGCTCCAAAGCTTGTGGTTATAACCACTATGCGCTAAGAGCTCCCATATATATCAGGATGATGTGAAGTCAGGCACATGGATGAGGAGTCGATCACTTAAAGAGTTAGTCCACAGTTGGTTGTCTCTTTGTTACTATGTATTGTGTCAAACTATGTGAAACTGCCTTTTATGTGAGTTTAAAGTGGTCAAATATCAGCAATTTCATATGCTGAGTTTGCCATAACAATTTCATATGCTGATATTTGAAATTTTTAACAGTTAAATCTAAAACTTTCGTGTTTTGATCAGTACAAGTCCATTTCCTCTTGCTTTGTCCTAAACAAAGATCGGCACTTTTTGGTCAGTCTCCTCTGGAAAAGGAACCTCTCAAGACTTGAAGATTGTGGCAAAATTATGACTCTCTTTCTTCTTTCCCAGAGTGGCTTCCAGCTTCTTAAAGTCTGACAAGAACCGGATAGGGGGAAACTACAAAAAGACCATTTATAAAGAATATAAGGACGACTCATACACAGATGAAGTGGCCCAGCCTGCCTGGTTGGGCTTCCTGGGGCCAGTGTTGAAGGCTGAAGTAGGGGATGTCATTCTTATCCACCTGAAGAATTTTGCCACTCGTCCCTATACCATCCACCCCCATGGTGTTTTCTATGAGAAGGACTCTGAAGGTAAACCATTCCACCATTTTTTTCTCTTATGCCCAACAAATATTACTTTTCCTTTACTGTCAGTTGAAGGAGAAGAGTTGGGAGTGAAGGTTGTTTTTTTTCTTCCTTATTTACCGGAGGTGGCAAATACTCTTCTTAGAATAAACAAGTCTGGGCACTGGTATCAGTTCTGCCATTCATATACTGTGTGACTTAGACAAGTCATTGTCTCTCTCTGGGTCTCAGCTTCCTTCTCAGAAATGTGAAGATGGTCTACCATTTAACACAAGGAACTATTTGAATGGCATCTCCGTAGAATATTTGAATATTCTATGAAAAGAAAAGAGAATGCTATAAATGTGATGGATGGTTATTCTAGTGTCACAGTCTTCGGAAAGCTCCATTTTATATTTCCTTAAGGGGGAATTCAGCTTATTTATCTGTACCTCCCTTATTCCTGGCCCAGTAATGTATAGTACTGATAACAGTGAGTGAGAGGAATAGAAAGGGAAGTCAGAAGACTGTCTGGATGGGCCACTAAATTCCTGTATGATCCTGGACAACTTACTTTAGCTCAGTTTTCTCTTCCATACAATGGAGAAGTGAACCAACTAATCATTAAGTTGATTGTAGACGGAAATTCTGTGATTGCCTGCTTTTTTTTTAAGTGAGTGTTTGAAGGGAGGGAATTCTGTCTTCTTCCATGCTTCTATGCCACCAGCTTTATGCTAGGGCATTACCAGATCAGGCCAAGCTGTGCTTTTCCTAGCCACAGAACTTTTCCAGTGGCTACAACCTTTCCACCCATTGTTAATATGAGGACTAGATTTTTAGGTTAAATGTTACCTAAATCTGTGTTCTCCTTAGGTTGTGAGGAACACTGTGCAGGATGTTAGAATGCTACATTTTACAAGACTGAACCTAGGGTTCTACATGTCAGCTGTCTCTTAATTTGTATATTTACCATAGTCCTTCGCTTACTCTGGGCCTGGGCATGTGCAATTTCATTTCTAGGTTCCCTGTACCCAGATGGTTCCTCTGGGCCACTGAAAGCTGATGACTCTGTTCCTCCGGGTGGCAGCCATATCTACAACTGGACCATTCCAGAAGGCCATGCACCCACTGATGCTGACCCAGCGTGCCTCACCTGGATCTACCATTCTCATGTAGATGCTCCACGAGACATTGCAACTGGCCTGATTGGGCCTCTCATCACCTGTAAAAGAGGTATAGGTCCCAGAGATAAGCTATGAGGTGCAGTTTGAGACATCTAGGGGTAGCAGTGGTATGGTTGAACCACCCACATATTGGGCAGCAGCCTGAGTATTGTTAATTCAGCACTCTTGTTTATTAGTAAGAAAAATTTCTGTTAAACTCAATTTCCACTATTTTTTTCAATTTCATTACTCTTTTTCTTTTTCTCATGGGTTAGGAACAACTTTTTTTTCAGGGTTGTTGTGGTACAGGTGGTATTTGATTACATGAGTACGCTCTTTAGTGGCGATTTGTGAGATTTTGGTGCATCCATCTCCAGAGTACTATACACTGCACCCCATTTGTGGACTTTTATCCCTCGCCTCCCCCAACCCTTTCCCCCAAATCTTGGAAGTTCATTGTATCATTCTTATGCTTTTGCATCCTCATAGCTTAGCTTCAATATATCAGTGAGAATATACAATGTTTAGTTTTCCATTCCTGAGTTACTTCACTTAGGATAGTAGTCTCCAATCTCATCCAGGTCGCTGCAAATGCTGTTAATTCATTCCTTTTTATGGCTGAGTTGTAGTCCCTTATATATATGTACCACAGTTTCTTCATTTACTCCTTGATTGATGGGTATTTGAGTTGGTTCCACGATTTTGCAATTGTGAATTGTGCTGCTATAAACATTCATGTGCAGGTATCTTTTTTGTGTAATGACTTATTTTCCTCTGGGTAGATGCCTAGTAACTGGATTGCTGGAACAAATGGTAGTTCTACTTTCAGTTCATTAAGGAAGCTCCACACTGTTTTCCATGTGGCTATACTAGTTTACATTCCCACCAGCAGTGTAGAAGTTTTCCCTGTTCACCACATCCAAGCCAACATCTACTGTTTTTTGATTTTTGGATTATGGTCATTCTTGCAGGAGTAAGGTGACAGCACATTATGGTTTTGATTTGCATTTCCCAAATCATTAGTGATGTTGAGCATTTTTTCATATGTTTGTTGGGCATTTCTATATCTTCTT